GGATCGACATCAAGAATCCAAGTCACAACCATGGACCAATTGGATCAGAAGTATGTTCTCTTTTAACTCCTCCGGTCCCTAACTTTGATGAGTTTTGAGCACCATATTCATCTCAGGCCCAGAAATCAACGGTACAGACTGCAATAGCCGAGAGCCTTGCCGTCATCAAGCAACGATCAACCTCGGTGAGTAGTCTCTCTTATATCATTCCCAACAGGGCCAATCAAAAGGGCTGAATTGGGGTGATTCCATCGGCAGATATCCAATCAATTATCCCAGCTTTTGCCAAACGATCGCAGCCAGGCCCTTGCTGAGATTCAAAAAGTCTTGGAGAAATATCAGAACCCTCTTCAATCGACTGTAACTCATTCAAACAAATCAAATGACCTGATCGCAACAAACAACACTTCTCATTTCATTCCAGAAGATACCAGCAACTCCTTGACACCTAACTTACCGGCCGTGAGTTTCTTCTTTTTTTACATTCCCAGTACTTGCACCCGAATCTGATCATGATATTGCAGACTTCGATTGAGCAGCATCTGAAAACAAAGAAAAAGAAAAAAAAGATACAACCCCCTGCATCTGTACCCCTCCTCGTACCTTCAGCTCTTCCAGCCTTCCCACCTCAAGGTTCATCTCAACTTCGAGCTTCACCTCAACCTGTCTCACCTCAACCTCAACCTGTCTCACCTCAACCTCGACCTGTCTCACCTCAACCTCCACCTCCACCTCCACCTCCTGCCTTCTCAACCCAAATTTCAAAGCCCGGTCACACCGTTCCACCTCAAGCTTCATCTCAATATGCTGCTTCACCCCAACGTGTCTCACCTTCATCCCCACCTGCTGTTTTCCCAAGGCTAATCTCTCAGCTTGATCACATTACCGCTCCACCCTCCTTACCCTTCATTACAACTAGACCAACAATAACAACCAATGTCAAACTATTGGTTGATTATGAATCAGACCCATCAGTAAGCCTTGATTCTCTACTTGCCTTGTCCCTTACTAACCTTTGTTGTGTTGAACTGCACCAAAGCCTCCGAATAGTCCTAGGGATGCTGTTATTGATACCATCACCGATCCAATTTGTCAGGTATGTGGATCAGGTTGAATCGTGCTGATGAGACTTATCAATGAATTTCGAAGACGAATCAGCAACTGACTGTTTGGTTTCCGTAGTCTCCACACGCCGATCAACCACCTAATCATGTAGACGACTACGCGGATGAAAGCTTTGATTTAGATACCTTAATCCCCCCTACTACAAGCCCTGAGAAGCAACATCAAGACGATCTGAAGCAAGATCAAGATGATTTAGATGTTCTATTCCCCCCTCTCACTAGCAGCCCTTCGATTCTAGAAGCCACAAGCATAAGGAAGACTGAAAACGCCTCCGTCAATGTATTGCCTGAAATCAAAACATTCCAGGCTCCAAGTGTGAGTATATTGTTTATTAAGCTCAAGCATGTTCCAGCCCATTAGTGCGCATCTCTTATTGATTGCCCTCACTATATAGCGAATTAAGAAGAGGGCCCGATCAAACCCATCAGGAACAATCACCACTTCTGTTCGTAGGTCAACAAGGCAGAATCCCACCAACATGGAGACCTCCCGCCACACCGGTTCTCGTCGTTCTACTCGATCCTGCAACACCAAAAAAGTGTTTACGTGTGTACCCACATCTTTGTTTGTCTGCAACTTGAACTGTGTTCTAACTTGTGATGTGTTTGGTACAGGATACTCGAGTTCCACATTGGCTACACGAGTATGTACAATCAGTAGCAGACCCTCGTCCTGACGGTCATTGTGGATATCGAGCAATTGCAATCTTGTTAGGCCGTCCTGAAGACCATTGGCTAACGGTGCGCGAAGACCTCATTGCTGAGCTACAGTCCAAATCGGATTTTTATAATCAACACTTCAAAGCACGCAAGAGAGGTGATGGCGACGTAGCTGATCACATTGCTGCCATCCGAACAAGCAGAGAGGAGGTGGTCGATACACCTGCACTCTGGCTCGACTCGGCTCAAATGTTGTACATCATCGCAACAACTTACAAAACAGTGTTCTGTGTCTATAGTGATAATGTATCTTTTTCAGCTTTCCCTCTCGATTGTCCAGCAAATGACAATCCTCCTATATTTCTATGTTATGATCGGACTTCACTTCACTTCTTATCACTTTATCTGAACACCACTCCAGCTCTTGTTCCAATACCTAAGCCTTGGACAGAGTGGTACCATCTTGCACTACCTGAAGCAAAGGACTGGGATCATAAATATAATCATCACTTCATTTTGTTCCAAGAACGTATTGTACCTAGACTTACTGCCCCCAAGCCATTGTTGTATTCTCCCATTGAACTTGACCTCATTTCCGACTCTGAATAGCACTAGTGATATATATACATTACTACTTTGGTTGAACAAATATTATCGTTAGTTCATATTTAGTTTTTGATGACATCTCAGACTCCATCATGCTGCCAATAAAATAAATTGAAGATTGATTACAAAAATCCGGCCTAACTTTTTTAATCATTGTAAACATTATTCACAAACTCAACCCATGAAATGCCACCTGTATTCATTCTTTAGCAATGAGTAAGGTGTTATTTAACACTGGTGTAGCACTAAATCATTTGTTGACCACATGAAACAAACACCAAAAATTATTGCTTTTTGATAAAGGCAAGTACTAGCTAAATGGCTAAATGAAGTCACTACTGAATGATTGATAGTATTAGAAATCACACATACCTACATTTTGGGTCTTCATTAAGTGATGCTTGATGAACCTCATTTTACCATCTCAGAATGCCATTCTCACATGGTAACCAAAAAACATGGAAGATTTGATTACAAGTCATTGCGCATAATAACTCATAACATTCAATCATATTCAATCATAGCATTTCACCGTTAAGGTCATACAACTCTTCATAGAGCAGATCCTCCGCTGCTTCATACTGGTCAGGCTCCTCAGCCCAAAGGTTTGGCTGCCCAGTTAAAACCTTCCAAAGGTTATCAGCCCACTCGGTAACCCTTTGAAAACGAGTTTTCAAAGGTTCATCATCATCAACCAACCTTTCTGGCAAGTGTATCTTTGTTTCTTCAAATTGACTCTTGAGCCCCGGTCCCCATTTTTTCCAAAGCTTACAGCACCTTCTTGACACAATGTTGTAGAGCGAGGCCAACCGTGATCGCACTGTTGGACTCAAAGCTGAAGAGTATAGTCAGCAAACATCAAGACTTATGTGCTGACACTGCTAGAACTCACCAGTCTCGACTCGTTGCTTTAGAGCAACCAGTCTGTCAAAGTACTGGTTTGCCCAACCCGTCATCTGCCTCACTTCCCGAGCAATACGCCGAAGCTCCTCAATAGCACATCTTCGCGATAAGAAACTCTGGGTACCCAGCCGATCCCTCTCCGCTTCTTCAACCTCCGCTGGGGCATCTTCACCCCGATTCCAAAAAGGGTGATCCATCGTCATCGCAATCACAGCTTCCAGATCCGGCAATTCAGGCTGGACAGCTCTTGGGAAATTCACACGGTATTTATCTACTTGCCGCTTGTAAGTATAGTACTTGGTACGCACATCTCTGTTCCTATCAGCTATATGACGCGCCATGTATTGCTGCTGGCGCGCGCCTGGATGGTGAAAGACATTTTTCAGCTAATGTTGCGTGCGCATGTTTCAAATTTATACAACGTAGGGCGTGGAAATGCAAAGGCTTACCAGTGTTGCGATGACGTCGCAACCTGGCCTCATGGATGCCAACCTTTGCTTCGTAAAGCTTCTCCCGCGCCAGGCTCATGGTGAGCAGTGCATTCTGATGATTGCCTACAATAACAAAGGTTTTTGTCTGACGTATGTGTAGCTTAACTCCAAATACAGATTGGAAACTAAAACTTACGCGTGACTCCTGTTAAGGATTGAAACTCAGCACCTCCAAGTTCCGAAGCCATGGCTTCAATTTGCTCTTCGATTGATGCCACACTCCCTGGAAGGGACATAAGTTCAATCCTCTCAGCGTCAGTCCTAGCTCTTCGGCGTATGTTTTGGAGCCCCTTGAGTCGGTCCCTGGAATGGGCAAGGAAGGGGCCAGGTGTTCTTCAGCATGAGGAACACAGGTTCTGAATAGCTCATAGATCGAGGTACTCACCGAGCGCCAATAAGCTCTTCTTCCAAAGCCAGCAACACAAGCAGACGCTCCCTTTTCTGTTGCTGTGTCTCAGTAAGCACATCAAGCTGACGGACCTTCTGTTCGTTCCACTTATTCTCAAAGTAATCTCCTCCAACAGCTGGGTTTGCCCGAACCGGATTTGATAGGGCTTGGTCAGCCTCTGCCAGGCGTTTGATTGCTTCACTCCGCTTGCGAGTCATATGAACAACTTGTGAGTAATAACAAACAATACGTTGGGTAATGTAAGATTCCTAAATACCTACCTAAAGATAGTGTTTGTTCAATAGTAGTTGAATCTAACGTACCAGCTGAATGGCGAAGGTTGGTACGGTAATGGCTGGCTCGCATATCAATGGCATCCACGCGATGCTGAGATGTCGAGTATCTCTCGGCGCTGACGAGCGAGTCAAGAGTTGACCAAAGGCGCTCAGAGCCTTCTCCGTCAGAAAGCCCCCAGCCTTGATTGAGCCTAGGATTCCATTTCAGTTGGCAGGACCATCGATGGACGTATGCATGAAAGACGCTAGTCCCAAACTTGAGACGCCTTGCATGCCGCTCTGCTTCAAACATTCCACGCTGAAATATAATACAAATAAAGATAGAGAAGTGTGATTTTGGTCAGATAGGAATGGGTAGGGATCAAGTATTGTTAGGTATCTCACGGATTCAATACCGTTCTCCATGGTACATCCTATATCGTATAGGAACCCTATCCTCTGTTCTTCAGTCAAAGCAAGGAATGACTCTATCAAGCTATAGCTGTAATGAAGTCTAACACATAATCAAAGCACATGTTAACATGACATTATCTTATGACTCAGAGTCAGGCACTTGCTTTTCGCCACTCTGAATGATGTTGGCAAAACGAATAGGGTGATCATGTCGGCAGACCATTGCCATCAACCCTGTTTCGTCACATCCAGCCCAATGCCCCTTTGCTCAACGATCGTTAGCTGCTGTATGTTGTTCAGCACATGCTGACTGTAGAATGTCGGTAAGCATTGCCTCCAAACTTTGTGCAAAGATTAAAGTTCTTCACTTACTGCTTCTTCTTCCGGCATTCCAGCAAGGCGATGTTCCATTTGAGTTACTTGAGCCTCAGGTAAGAAATTGTCGGGCATGACTGTTGGAATCTTTGCGGCCTTGGTTCCAGCTGCTATATGTCTTCGGTGCTGAAAATTACCGTCCAAGCAGACAACAATGTCAGGCTCACCTTCAACAGTACTTGGCACTGGGGTGCCAAAACATCGCGGGCAGTTCTCGGCAAGCTTATCCTTGGGAGTTAGAGAGAGTTCAACATCAAGGGCTTTATCGGTGGCTGTGAGCATCTTTCGATATGTGTCAATAGCCCATTGAAATGGGGTGTGCCATTGACGTGGCTACTCAGTATAAGTGGGATACAAGATTAGTATTTTATTTTTCCCATCGTAGGGCAAATGGTAATTTGCAACTGACCTGTTCGTTCTTGGTCAGTAACAGTGGATTGAAGGCATCCAGATATTCGTCAAGTCCTCTGGTCCAAGGTTCCACACGACTTGTACAGTACTTCCAAGTGGTGTGGAAGAATCTGAGTAGGCGTATTGAAAACGCAGTCTCGGGGTATTTTGGCGAGCCTCCGATGTATCCCATGTAGATGAGCCTGGTGTTATCGTTCTGATGACATCCGCAAAATGTCACCTCCAACTTCTTTCGATCTAAAAAGTGAATAACAACTACATCAGCATCACGATTTCTATTTGAGGACGTAGCAATAGTAAAAGTCAAATGGGAAATGACACAGCTGAATGTACATAGGATGTCAACAAGATCAAGGTGTCTAACTCGAAGTTGATGACCTTGACAAGTACACTGCGGTTTCTGATCCAGGTCCCACTGGGTTGGATCCCCCCATTCGGTCGTATGGAGATGACATTCAATATATGCGTAGAACATCTCTTGAGTGGCACGTTGCAATGCAAGTGCTCGTTCCTGTCGTTCATCTTCGACACGTGCACGTTCGATGTCATCAATAAAACCAGGTACTAGAGGTCCGAGTCCGAGGTCAAGATACTGATTATCCAAGTGATTTAAAAGGTTAGCGTTGACATCGTATTCGTCGGAATCCAAAGATTGGGCCAAATGATGTGGGTTTGGCACTGTTGAGCGCACCGCTGGCATATGAGCCTGTACGGCCGCAGCCATCCGTGCAAAATGTTTGCGTTGAGCTTCGGTCTTTGGCTTTTTGAGCCAGTACGGCTTCTTGGGTTTGAAAGGCTGATGAACACCTTTGAACCGGGGCATGTTGAATGAATGATTTTGATTTGCGGTGCTTTGCTGAAATGATACGATTTGTTAGGGTCCGTGTATGGTTGGGATTTGTTGATCTCTGGTCAATATGTGGAATGGTGGAGTGGTAATTGATTGGTTGAAGAAAAATCAAGTTGGCAGTGAGGAGTGCGGTAGGGTTGGTCTTTGGTCAGCTGGGTTGGTGCCGTCGTCAACCCCCCAACCTTTGTACATACAGTTATGTAGTTGTATGTACCTGGCCTTGCCAATGACATACAACTGAAGGGTAAAAAATGGTTCTCTTCAATTGTTTATCAATAATGAATACAGCCGTATTCATGATTGATGAACACTTAAAAAAACCTTTCAAATGTTTTGAAAAAACATTTTGAATAATCACAGCAACAAACTGTGGTGATCAATGATCTTTGCTGTGATTATCAAAAACATTTTCTTTCATATGTTCATCAAACATGAATACTGCTGTACAATTGAAGAGAACTTTTGGACATCAATGGCCTTTTTCCTAGATGATTAAAAAATTCATTCAATGTGTGACTCAAGCAGGGGTGGACATGTGATATTGAAGGAATTATTGGCTGGTCAAATATACAAACCTTTCCAACAATTTGGAGAAATAAATGAACAATGAAGTGACTCTGGGTCTTGAGAAGGCCTTCAATCTTTGTATAGAGTGTGCAACTCTCGTGCTTTGAGCCTTGTCCCACATCCTCAGAGCAGGAGACAAGATGCCCAATTGTGATATTGAAGTGGGATTTGAATGTTGAAGATGTGGGATATGGATAAAAAGTCAATATTGACTTATGTCTAAAACATAGGAAATTACTTTTTACAAAGAAGTCATCCACAAATATCCCACATGTTCAATGGGTTTATGTGGTTATGGGACCTGAGCAGGATTCAAAATGACCAATTTTGATATTCAGGTAAAATTGAATGTTGGGATGGGGGATATTGATGAAAAATTAATAATTAAATGTGTCCACTCCACTGTTTAGGAAAGTAAATTACCAAAGGATGATAATGGATATATGTGCTTGACTGGTCCACACACGGACTCATGTCAATGAGTCTGGGTGAATGAGTATGTGTGGTTATGGACTCAAGATGACCAATTTTGATATTCAGTTGGGAATTGAATGTTGAAAATGCAATATATTGATAAAAATTATGATGAAATGTGCCCAGCATGTTGGAAAATACATTTTACAAAGTATCAATCCACAAACCACCCACATGTCCAATGTGTTTGGGTGGTAATGGGACCTGAGTGGGAGTCACCATGACCAAACTCAACATTCAGGTGGACTTGAAAGTTGAGGATGGGGGATGTTGGTGAAAAGTCAATAATGAAATATGTCCAGTGTTTAGGAAAGTAAATTACCAAAGGATGATGATGCATATATGTGCTTGACATGTCCACACATATCCCACATGTCAATGTGTTTGTGTGGTTATGGAGTCAAATAATGAAATATGTCCAGTGTTTAGGAAAGTAAATTACCAAAGGATGATGATGCATATGTGCTTGACTTGTCCACACATATCCCACATGTCAATGTGTTTGTGTGGTTATGGAGACAAAATGACCAATTTTGATATTGAAGTGGGAAATGGGATATGCAACCCTGATCCTAATAAGTGATCATAACAAAATGAATGTTGAAGATTCACTTTTTATTGATCAACAGTGATTAATGAAATAGGTCCAGCGTGTAAGAAACATTTTACATAGAAGCAATCCACAATTATAATAATGCATATATGTGCTTGACTTATCCGTGGGAATTGACTGTTTAAGATGCCAGATATTGATAAAAAGTAAATAATGAAATGTGTCCAGCATGTAAGAAATGTCCAGTTTGTAGGAAAGCACATTTTCATAGAAGCAATCCACAAATATCCCATAAGTTCAATGTGTTTGTGTATGTGTGGCAATGGGACCTGAGCAGGAGTCAACATGACCGATTTTGATATTGAGGTGGCAATTGAATGTTGAGGATGCATGCAAGATTTTGAGAAAAAGTGGATAATTGATATTCAGGTGGAATTGAATGTTGGGATCCTCTTTCCTAATTACTGGACACATAATGAAATCTGTCCAGTGATTAGGAAAGAGGATTCACAAAGGATGATAATGCATATAGGTGCTTGACTTGTTATACTGTGGCTGCCTGGTTTGTCCATGCACACATAGAGCTTTTGTTATGACCTGTCACGCGTGTTACATGTAGAGTTCATACTAGTCTTGTCTCCCGTTGTGCATATTGCTTTTCCTCACTTAGCAATCTACTATATTCACGAGACCACCCTTAAAGCTTCTCTTGCATCTCCCTCTCGAAGCTACAACATATTGCTAAGTCTCATCAAAAGAGATCCAAGAGAAGAATCACCGAAAGTAAGACGAAATCAAAACGAACGATTAAGAAGAAAGTTAAAAGAAGTTAAGAAGAAAGATTTTCAAAGTTAATAAAGTTAAATTAAAGTATAAACTTAATCTGCACTCCGCAAGCAAAGTTAGAAGAAAGTTGATTACTCAGTATTACCACAGAAGTAACATTTAAAGAAGATAACTTATACCCCGCATAATCTCGAACACCACTGCATCCTTCCAAAACGCCAAACTTTAAGCTTCCCTCTAACTCAACGGACTCGGAGTCATCGGAAAAAGAATTCTACGAGACAGAAGAGACCGCAATGAATCCAGAACACGAACAGCCCTCTATGGCCGAGATTTTACGGCAAATGAGAGAATTAAACACTCAATTCTTAGAGGTCAAAGCAAGCTTAGCTGAAGAATCGCAGAAACAAGAAGAAGCTGAGAGAAGAAGTGACGAAGCAGAACAACGACTACGTCAATTTGAAACAACCCGCACTACCTCCACTCAACTACCTCACAGCTCCGCCCCGATCGCTCAGACCTCTGTTCCGCAAACGATTAGTCAAATAAAGCCTCCTAAGATCGCCACTCCGAATAAATATGATGGTACTAAAGGACAGAAAGCCGAAGTTTATGTTAATCAGGTCTGCTTATATATGCAAATGAATGCTGCTGCATTTGTGAACGAACAAGCTCAAGTTGCGTTCGCGTTATCTTACCTTGATGGGAAAGCCAGTATTTGGAGCCAAAATTTTACCGATCAACTACTCGACCAAGATAAAATGAAACAAGTTACTTGGAAAAAATTCATTGAATCATTTAAAGCAACGTTCTTTGACTCTGAAAGATTGGCTAAAGCAGAAAAAGAAATGAGGGCGTTAACTCAAACAAAGGCAGTGGTAGATTATTGGATTAAGTTTTCGGAATTAGCGTTGATAGTTAAATGGCCTGAGAATGTATTACTATCTCAATTTAAGCAAGGATTAAAGAAAGAAATCACGGTGCATATGGTACGGGACGAATTCAAGGAAGTTGAAGAAATGGCAAAGTTAGCTATTAAACTTGATAATGAAATTAATAAAAGAGACTCCAACACGCACCACCCAATTGTTTCGACCAACACAACTTCAACCTCAACCACTATTACTGATCCAGATGCAATGGATTGTTCGGCTTATCGTGTTAACATATCAAATGAGGAGTATAACAAGAGAGGAGCAATGGGAATGTGTTATAGTTGTGGTAAAGATGATCATTTTATTAGAGACTGTCCAACTAGAAAAAGACGTGGAGGTAGAGGAGGTTGGAGAGGTAGAGGAGGATATGGAGGTTATGGGAAATTCAAAAGTAAAGTTGCTGAAGTGGATGGTGTCAAGGAAGAAGAGAAGGACGATGGAAGAGCTGAAGCCTCAAAAAATGGAGGCGCTCGGGAGTGCTAGTGGTGCCACACTCGAGCGGTAATTACTTAACTGAAGATTGTAGTAGCTTAAATTCACTTGAAATAAAAGATACGCGAATCATTGATTTTGTTACTATTTTCGAAGTTAAGAGTGCCACCCCCATTGTTGCGAGAGCCTTAGTAGACAGCGGTGCTACACATGAAGCAATGAGCCACCGGTTTGTCTCTGCCAACAAGTTCAAGACGGACCCATTACCTCAAACCAGAAGTGTAACTGGTTTTAGTGGTCACGAGTCAAGAATCACCCATACTGTTGACCTCTGTGTCAACTCCATTGAATCAACACCAACCACCTTCATAATCACTGAATTGCGCGACAAGTACGACATAATTCTTGGAATGCCTTGGATACGACAAAATTTTGAAAAGATTGATTGGAAGAACGGTCAACTCAAGGAAAATCATTCACTCATTGCAGTTGTAGAATCAACTTCGTCAAGACCGGACAAAGCCTCGAGGAACCACAAGGAGGAGCCTATGAGGCATGCTAGGAATCTTGACGAGGGGGTGGAGCCTGAAAACTCATTAACACCCCCGCAATGTGCGTATATTTCTAATTATTCAAATGACAAAAAAGAAGCAGCTAGCAAGCCATTACATCATGTAGAAAACTTAACACACACGAATTCGAACGAACACATTCAACTGCCGGAACAAGAGAAACGAAATGAAACTGCAGCTGACCGTAAGGCAGCTTTGTTGGTGCCGAAAAACCCCTTGGAGGACCACGAAAGACGGGATCCTACGAGGCAAGCTAGGCACCATGACAAGGGGGTTGAATTCAAGTTGAGTTCGTCACAGCCCCCGCAGAGTATGTGTAAACATTCTTCAATCTCAAATGTGAATGAACATGCTGGCAAGCGTTTTTCTTTTCAACCACAGCATGCTATCCAACGACTCAACTCAAGCCTAAATCGTCAAAACAAAGTGATGGATCAACTACGAACTTTACAACCACCGACAAAATCAATGATTGATGTAATGAAAACGTCATGGAACCTGTCTGCGAAGATAGCAGCAGATCAAGTGAAGGACTCACCTACTAAGAACGCGGCTGAACTCGTACCCGAATGCTATCACGACTATTTACCTATGTTCGAAAAGAGCAATTCTGACGTTTTACCACCTCATCGCCCATATGATTTCAGAGTTGATTTGATACCTGGAGCATCGCCACAAGCAGGAAAAGTTATTCCTTTATCACCGAAAGAAACTGAAGTGCTTAATGAGATGCTTGAAAAAGGACTGAAAAATGGAACAATTCGCCGTACAACTTCTCCTTGGGCAGCTCCTGTCTTATTTACCGGCAAGAAAGACGGAAATTTACGACCCTGTTTCGATTACAGACGACTCAATGCCATAACTGTAAAGAACAAATACCCCCTTCCACTGACAATGGAACTAATAGATAGCCTACTAAATGCAGATGAATTCACGAGTTTAGATATGAGGAATGGGTATAATAATCTAAGGGTCAGGGAAGGCGACGAAGCAAAACTAGCATTTATATGTAAATCTGGCCAATTTGAACCGCGAACAATGCCCTTTGGACCAACGGGAGCGCCTGGATTTTTTCAGTACTTCATTCAAGATATACTGAAAGCTCATATAGGCCGAAATGTGGCTGCGTATCAGGATGACATATTAATCTACACCGGTCCAGGAGTTAATCATCAAGAGGTCGTGAAAGAAGTTTTGGAAATATTAAGACGTCAAAATGTATGGTTAAAACCTGAAAAATGTAAATTCTCAAAGAAAGAAATTTCGTATTTAGGATTAATCATCTCAAAGAATCAAATTAGGATGGATGAAAGCAAAGTCAAAGCAGTAAAAGACTGGCCAACCCCAAAAAATTTATCTGAAGTACAGACCTTTTTGGGATTTGCAAATTTTTACAGAAGATTCATTGATCAGTTCTCAAAGATCGCACGACCACTGCACGAGCTGTCACAAAAGAATGTTGCGTTTGAATGGAATGAACAACGTCAGAGAGCATTCGAAACACTCAAGACTGCGTTCACCACCGCCCCGGTATTGAAAATTGCGGATCCATACAAAGCTTTTGTATTGGAATGTGATTGCTCTGACTATGCGCTAGGAGCGGTACTTTCTCAAGTGTCTGATGATGACAATGAACTACATCCTATTGCATACTTATCAAGATCTCTAATTCAGGCAGAGCGGAACTATGAAATATTCGACAAGGAATTATTGGCAGTAGTAGCATCTTTCAAAGAATGGCGACAGTATCTCGAGGGGAATCCAAACCGCCTCAATGTTATTGTGTATAGTGATCATAAGAATTTACAATCCTTGATGACAACCAAAGAACTGACACGGCGGCAAGCAAGGTGGGCCGAAATTCTTGGCAGCTTTGATTTTGAAATTAGATTTCGACCAGGTAGACAATCCACCAAGCCAGATGCGTTATCTCGGAGACCGGATTTAGTCCCAGCTGAAGGAACAAAGCTCACATTTGGACAGCTACTAAAACCCGAAAATTTGCCTGCTGATGCATTTATTGATGAATTAGAGATTATTGATAAATGGTTTGAAGAAGAAGAATTGCTGGAACAAGATGAAGAGAACAACAGTGAAGAAGAAGATAACAATCAAATGCTTATGACCGACAGAGAAATATTACAAATTATAAAGATGAAGAGCAAGTCCGACCCGAAAATCAATGAGATGATTAGGCTTTGTGCTGAAATGCCAATGTCGAAGCATATCAAGGACTATCAAACTATTGATGGCATTTTATATTTCAAAAACAAGGCTGTTATTCCGTCTGACACTGATTTGAAATTACACATCCTTCGTTCTAGACACGATAGCAGATTAGCAGGTCATCCGGGGAGAATGCGAACGTTAGCACTGGTAAAGCGCGCATATCACTGGCCGTCAATGAAAGCATTCATCAACAAATACGTGGACGGATGTGGATCATGTCAACGCGTAAAATCTAGGACCGAAAAGCCATTTGGAAGTCTCCAACCTTTACCTATCCCGGAAGGACCATGGCTCGACATTTGCTACGACCTAATCACGGACTTACCCAAATCTGGAGGTTATGACAGTATCCTAACTGTTGTTGACAGACTCACAAAGATGGTGCACTTTGTTGCATGTAGGAAGAGCATGAAATCCGAAGAGCTTGCTGATTTAATGATCAAGGAAGTTTGGAGGTTGCACGGCACTCCACGAACGGTAACATCTGATCGAGGAAATATCTTTATATCACGTATCACTAAAGATTTCCACAGAAGACTAGGCATCAAGACCCAATCCTCAACGGCGTATCATCCCCAAACAGATGGCCAATCAGAAATTACGAACAAAGCGGTTGAATTATATATCAGGCACTTCACCGCATACAAGCAAGATGACTGGCTGACGTTATTACCATTTGCTGAATTTTCGTATAACAACAGTGAACACTTGGCGATAGGCGTGTCCCCGTTCAAAGCTAATTATGGATTCAATGTCAACTTCACCGATGTTCCGTCCAGTGAACAATGTTTACCGCTGGTGGAACAAAGAATTGATCAAATCAAAAATGTTCAACGTGAATTAAAAGATGCAATGGGCCTAACTCAAGAATTAATGAAGATGCAACATGATAGCAAAGTTCGAGATACGCCTAATTGGAAGAAAGGAGACAAGGTCTGGCTCAACAACAAGCACCTATCAACAACACGGCCCACAGCTAAGTTTGCCCATAGATGGGTAGGACCATTTGTTATTTCAGCGCGTGTGTCTAAAAATGCTTACAAGATTGTGTTACCTAAATCTATGAGTAAGGTACACCCTGTTTTTCACGTCAACCTATTAAGAAAATTCGAAGAAAGCAAGATACCAGGACATCACAAAATGCCGCCACCACCAATAGTTATGAATAATGAAGATGAATTTGAAATTAATGAAATACTTGATAAGAGAAAAAGAGGAAGAAAATTAGAGTATTTAATTAACTGGAAGGGATATGGTGAAGAACATGATTCATGGGAACCAGAAGAAGGTCTCAAGAATGCAAAACAATTAATGAATGATTTTAATAGAAAGTATCCAGATGCTGAAGTTAGATACAAAAGGACGAGGAGAAAGAAGTGAGGGTATGGCTTTTTCCCACTGGGTTTTTTAATGCCACCCGGGGATAGATGCTGGCCTGCAAGAGGAGGTAGAGACATAAAAGGGGGAGTGGTGTTATGACCTGTCACGCGTGTTACATGTAGAGTTCATACTAGTCTTGTCTCCCGTTGTGCATATTGCTTTTCCTCACTTAGCAATCTACTATATTCACGAGACCACCCTTAAAGCTTCTCTTGCATCTCCCTCTCGAAGCTACAACAGCTTTTTTCCAATTGGTGATCAAACACAATCCTATTTGGGCAAAAGCTATATCAAAATTGATAAACCTTTTTTTCAAATCTGAATAAGATGTGCCAAAGGAAATTCACTTCATAGTTCCACTAAGTATTTCCCACATTGCACACCTTATGGGTTATTTCAACTCACTTGTGCGCCCTTCCGCCAAAATGCTTAGAGCAATGATAAAGACATCACGGTAAACCATGGATAGACTGACACCTGAAGGCATTGTTGGTCAAGATCATTTGAGGGGGTAGTTTAACCATCTGGCCAGATAATCTACTCAATTATGAGCATCTCACTTTGCTGGAGATAGACTTGGTGACATCAAGTCTATTCCAACTGTTTCACGTAGAAAATTCTCAAGATACTTTTGACTATTACATGGATCATAAATTTAGTATATGTGATAATGAAGGTCGATTGTGTCATTGAGATGGGCTAGGTGTAGTTGTGCTGAATGTCATCATTGCATCTATCTTACGTCTATTGACTCAATGACATCATTTCCAAATGACCAGTTTGTCTCTGAGACATTTCACTATTACATGGATCTGTATTCTTAGTGTCATCAAACAGTCATATGATAAATGTGTAATCACACCTGTAAGAACCTCAACTAACAACTGTTCTAAAGATAACATGTCTGACCTAAAAGTAATGAAATAGGAAAATGACAATATTAGAGAAGCACACAATAAAACATATCAAAGACGTATCAAATGACTTATAGGTGCAGAAAAGGTGAGATGGTTAGTGTATGTAATAACTGATCCCTGGGGAGCCAACGAGCAACATTTGATATTGGCAACATATAATTAAAAATAAGTAAAACAAATATATGTGTATATATATTTGTTTTTCATCTCTATTCAATTGGTACTGAACTGATCCCTGGGGAACCAACGAGCAACATTTGATATCGGCAACATATAATTAAAAATAAGTAAAACAAATATATGTGTATATATATTTGTTTTTCATCACTATTCAATTGGTACTGATAACTTTGATACTCGTGAACTTCAAATTCTTCATTGAGATAGTCTGAGTGTAGTTGTGTTTCATCGCATCATTGGATCTAATCGACAGCTCTAAATTTAGCGACATCAATTCCATCAAAACATGTAATTCATGTTTCTAATGGTTAGTATAAGAAAATCCCTTGTTATTGTCTCGAGTGTAGATATTTTATCTCACTTCATATATATAAGAGCAGTCTGATCTTCTACAGCTGTTCTGCTTAGTGGTAGCACTTATGTCAACTTTATTGAAAATGAGCCAGAGATGGTGACCAGCCAGAAAAGGAAGCACCTACAGCGGAAAAACGATGAGTAGTAGCATATGAACACCGATAATATATGCTACTGGAGCCCCTAAATCGAAGCATGACGCGCGCGAAAGGCTAAACGATCGATGGGAACTGATTAGTGACTGTTTGGATTCATCAAGAATTGAAACACTTCAAAAGACATACCACAAATTCATATGTGCAACTGGTACGATACCACGATTCTTCATCGACGAAATCTTCAATAAAACCGAGTCAAAGGAAATAAGGATTTGATGGCTCAAATTTCGATTCTTTGGAGTTCGCATTCCGAGTCACATCTATTGGTAAACGAACCGAGAATCAAATAGAAGGAGGAATAGAATTGAGGTTATGATAACGTATTGAGTGATGTGTTGATCAATATGGAGAATGCGAACAAAAGTATGAAGAAGGCGAAAACAAGCACAATCAGTCAAGGTGAATCATAATGGGTGACATAGTGGTGAGTGAGCGGATGCGCACCTTTCGAGGTTGGATTTTGATTTCATGCGCGTGGATCCGATATATTCGAGCTGATTGTCATGCTCAGGAAGAATTTGACCATTTGGTTCCAGTATTGGGGGTGGATCGCTGATTAGAAGACATGACCTGGCATGAAGTGTAGATATATATTTGTCAGTTTTAGCTTACAAACCCAAGCACCACCTGCTTCATGCTATCAGAAACACATCCGGGTGTCTCGAAAGCATACGGGTCAAGCTCAAAGATCCGGCTAGGAGCGAGGGATCCTGAAGCAGGTGTGCGTTAGAAAAATAGTGGAGGAGACCAATTCACGTACCATCTAGAATTTGACCATTCGGTTCCAGTATTGGGGGTGGTTCGCTGATTTAAAGACATGACCTGGCATGAAGTGTAGATATATATTTGTCAGTTTCAGCTTACAAACCCAAGCATAACCTGCTTCATGCTATCAGAAACACATCCGGGTGTCTTGAAAGCATACGGGTCAAGCTCAAAGATCCGGCTAGGAGCGAGGGATCCTGAAGCAGGTGTGCGTTGGGAGAATAGTGGAGGAGATCAATTCACGTACCTTCTTTTCCTTGGAGACATGGGTGACTGATGGCGAGGGTGGAGATCGGTGATGCATCGCAAGAGGAAAGGTGTTGGTTGATGTTATCCTAACCGAAAGGGAGCATTCCGTGGTGGTCCATGGTGTGCTATGTGAAGTGGCGTGGTCGTAGTGGTAGGTAGGGCGGCTCGCAATACTGATACTTACACCACGGCAAACTTAACAAAGTCCCTCGCCAAAGGCCCGAGCCCCAGCGAGGGACTTACCCCATAAACTGGAATCCTGGCGTGAGAAGTAGCCTGTATTGGCTCAAAAAACGCTACTTTGAATTCTTTGATTTGTTCCTAAATAAACAGGTCTCGGAGGTAAATAAAAGGATGATGGCAAATATTCATTACATATGAGCCAATTGCAAGCTTCCCCAAATCTGGTCTGGAACTTGGGCTACTAGGGAATCAAAAATGGGTCTGTTTTCAATTTTCAGCAGCGGCGAGCCGGCTCAAAGCCTGTATTTCTCAGAAAGCGGTCAAAATAATTGATCTTCAACTACTCAAAAAGATAACTTCCCAGAAAGATAGAAAGGAGTTTGCAATTGGTACATATGTAATGGTCCTTTGCCATTTTCTTCTTTCTTTGTTGCAAGACATGTTTGTTGAGAGAGAAAAAAAACAAACAGATGTAGAGAATTTGGAGCAAATACAGCTCACTTCTCACGCCAGGATTCCAGTTTATGGGGTAAGTCCCTCGCTGGGGCTCGGGCCTTTGGCGAGGGACTTTGTTAAGTTTGACACCACGGAGTGGTTCTTGAGCAGAAAAAGCGTCGGTGAGGTCTGAGCGTTGTCGGGGTCGTGAAATGGCCGGGAAATGGCCTGCAAGTGGCCTGTAAGAGGCCTGAAAATGGTCGGTGAGAGCGGGCTACATACCGGCTGCAGTCTGATTGAGTACCGTTGGTAGTCGGACTGCAGCTGGTGTGCGTATATTTGAGTCTGCAAAAAGGCAATGGCCGCCGCTTGACTTGACACCGCCCGCAGGCCAGCATCAGCCATACGGCTTGATCCCTGACACGGAGATGCCCTGCATCCCATGACACTTGAAAAACTCAAACCAGCTCGGGGCATTTGTACTTTGGTTCCATTCAACTTCAAGTCACCTTTGTTTGTTTTGTCATCGTATAACAATGTATTCCAACACCATCAACTATTCATCTTCAATCAATCAACAGAAGGTTTAATGACATCGCAAACAGTATGTACCAAGTTCAATCAATTCAATCAATGAACTCGATATCAATCACTCTTGACAGATTCATAACCCATATTATCATCTCATCATCCTACTCCAGTCCCTTATGATTCAGACTCATGAGTCTTATTTGCCTCCATCAGTCTTCTTACCCGAACCCAATCTCTGGTGATGGTATCCAACATTCTATGTTCTCCATCAAATTCTCTAAGAAATGACATTACTTCAATTGGTCGGGTCCTGAGCTCATCAAACCTGTTTACTTTGTTCCGTTCATCGACAACACCGTTCAATTAACCTAATCCGGGTCGAGTGGTCAGCACTGATAGTGATAACAATCAAGCTTCCCGACCTATCAATCTCTTCAAGTGCGCTTCATGATCATCGGCCTTCAACTGACGCGATCTCAATCAAATTCTAAACTTTATCACTTGATCAATGATCCCAAAATTAAAAGGTCCTCACTTCTACTCCAACACCTGATGCTTCACTCTTCTAAATTAATGAATCAGGTTTGAATCATAGTTTAACTTGGTTCTTTGAGTTACATATCTCTTCATCTTGGAAATCTAGTACCTCAATTGGATCTGATTTTATCTGTCGAAAACGATTGGTTTTCTTTTTTGGTTTAGAATTCGCCTTTTGTCTTGTTCTACTACATATGTAAGTCCACTTTGATTGACTCACTTTTGGAGAACTTTGTTAACTTGTGAATTTGCATCAACCTTCCATTCAGCGATATCGACTTGCCTCAACCAAATTTGTTGGATTCTTCTCTCTTCACCCTACTGCCGGCTGTACATTCATCTTCTTCACCTTCGAATCAAAATCAACCTGTGATGATGTCTGAAGTTTATCCTTGATAATATCAGTCCACCAATTACAGAAGGAATATTTACAAATCAAATGACTTAGTCGATCGACTTCTCCAGGTGATGTCTTGAAAGATATTCATATCATCAAATTGACCAATCCAGATAAGAAGACTTGATTTGCACTTGCCCCAACCCATCATGGAGATCAATTGAAATTGATAATTCAAATGTTTTGGAAAACTCATCAATTGATTCTTGGCCAATAGAAGAAATGAATTTGTTTGGATAATGGGATTGATTGGAACCCAAATTGTATCTTCATATTATGTACTTATCTTATCATACTTATACGTGTCTGTTCCAATAAACCATGCTATCAATAACAGATTTATATTTTGATTAATTTAAAACAGCATCTGCTAGCCGCATTTCAAGGCTGGCAGTCATCTCACTGGCTTCTTGTTGAGCCTTTGCACTATCTGTGAGTGGTCTCGAGCAGGTCCCAAACCGGTGCAGACCGGCAGTCAACCCTCTACATGGGTAAACCCGAGTACGTGTTCCAAGCCAGTCCGCATAGAGGTTTGGGTCCGAAATTTTTGAGAAATTTTTGCCATTTTTTCTGCTTTTTTTGGCGGGAGAGTAAGGTTGAGGGGTGGTGTTAGGCTGCAAAACTTTTGGTTTTTTTTGAAAAAAAAGCAAATTTGGTTGTTATTTGCCACTTGAGCAGCCATATTCATTAAATTATAGGCCTAGTGCGCCGCTAAGTAGCTAGATAGGTACCTAATTGAGGCCTAGGTCCGAAAATCCAAACCTCTAAAAGAGTAAAATCATATTTTTGGTCTCCAAAACCATATTCCTAGATTCATCAAAGCAATGCCTTTTCAATGGTCTGGGTGCCAGTCTCAAACATTCAAATTGAGTGCCCCAACATTGACCCAAAAGGTGAAATTTGATTTTGCAGGGCAGGTCGGAACACGTACTCGGGTTTACCCACTGTACATCCTGTCTTCAGTCGGCCTGCAGGCTGGCTACAGGCAATATTCGAAAGGCCGTCTGCATACGGTGGGACCAGCGCCTACCTGCAGACGGTCCGTGACTATATAAAAAAAGGCCCGTCTGCAGACGGCCTTTGTCCCAGTCTGCAGATGGGCCGGACCACTCCGTGGTGTAGGTTTTGGTATGTGATGTTGAAACGTAAGTACCGGTATTGTGCGGCTTGCAGTACCGATACTTAGGTTTCAAATTGTGATATTGAAACCTAAGTATCGGCTGTTTGGGCCTGTCGCACGGTACAGCACGGTACCATGATAGTATTGGTTGGGCGTCTTGCAGTTCCGATACTTAGGTATGTATCAAATTGTGATATTGAAAGGTCAGTATTGGTTCTGTGAACCAATTCACACAGTACAACACGGTTTCATGATATACTTAGACACAAAGGATTATATGTACTAAGATTTTTTTTGTGCAACAAACTAAATGTGATGATTAAAAGTAGATCAAAAAAGTCAATGGGTTAGGAGGAAGAGATGCAAGGAATAAATGTTGGAGAGTAAGTTAATTCATGAAAAAATGTTGTGTTTTGAAGCAGATTGTGTGACAACAAAGACTGGTTGTAGTGAATAAACTCTGACTTATACAGAGAAGATGAAGGGTAAAGCTTTGACATGGAACCCAGCACAATGAGGCGTCGAAGCGTGTTACATATTATAAGCAAGAGTCACTGATCCTGACATGCGGTCCGGAGTTAGTGGTATTGTTGGAGACCTAAATATAACAACTACACAAAGGTAATATTTTTGATTGTATCAAAATAACAAATGAATTTGTTATTTTGAATCTTGTGAACCATTCGATTGACAAAATTTCAAAGGCTTTTTGGGGAATATCAAAGATTGAGACGCTGACTCATTTATTAAATTCTTGACTGACAAAAGATTGAAAGAAAGGGTTCAACTCCCGTAGTTGAAGATGAGAAGCACTAAAGGGAGATATATATAATATAATTGAAGCATGATGCCTTCTATTTTCATTTGAATTCAGCGTAAACAATGTCCAATGCAAGGCAACTTAACCATTCACAAAATTAAATGATCTAATTGAAATAGATCAATTTTGCAATTTCGAGAAGTAATGCTATGCTTTGAGATTTTTGCAAGCATGGTACTGAGAATTGTATCTAAATTGGATGAGTGAATGATTGTGAGGTAGAGTATTAGATTGATTTTGATCCTAAACATTGCTCTGCGGTACAACTACAACGGTGTAGCGTCGGGCTAAGATGTCCTCATACCAAGTCTGCATCAGACTTTTATCGTTCATGATTGCGGCAGGGCCTGCGGCAAGCATCTCAGGTGTAACCTTAGAGTCGGAAGTTTGATGAACTGCAAGTCGAATACTGCCCGGAAAATCTGTAGTTCGCAAACAAACATCACATTTTTTTTGGGGGTGTATGTGAACCCTGGGCTTGAGGAGCTTGCAATTGACATTCTTAAGGTGGTCCACTACAGCGTATTGGAGTCAGTTTTTCAACCCAACCTGTTCACAGTGAGTTGACCAAAGCTGGTACTGACAAACGAGCTGGTTTAAATGCAGCGTGAAGTCCTTGCGTAGTTGGTCGTTTGGAGCAACCACGGCACTTTTGACCTGGCGAGTGGCATTACGACCGGTGACGAATCGGTCGAATCTTTCAAGGAGATGGTTACCGAAGGAGAATGTGCTGAGATAAATTGGATCGGAGCTAAACTCCTTACTCCATCCGGTGTAAGGGTTTGTAGTAGTTGGGTTCCAAGAAGCCGCTAGGAGGTGGTAGTGCATACCATAGGTCTTGTGGGCGACCTGAAGCTGGTGTTTAAGAGAGAGTTAATAATAAATCAGCTTCTAATTCTGGCAGAGGTGTGCAAAAATAATAAAAGTAATGTGGTTACTGTAGAATGTATGAATTCCATCTGCTTAATTCCCTTTTCCTGGAACTTCGCGATCTGGTTGATGTTACGGCTCAAAGCAAGTTCATCTTTTAAT